GGGCGGGGGGCAGAGGGGAAGGGAAGAGGGGGTGGGGAAGGGGGAGGGGGACAGGAGGGACCCTCTCCTTTTCTCTGCTGCACATGACACAGCAGGCTGTCTGTCCTTTCAGCTATTCCTGTTTGGGGGATATCTACAGAAAACATGATTTTGAATTCAGCGGTGTATTCTGGGTACTCTGTGTGAGGGAGATGCTGTTCATCAGAGGATCTGGTTTGGGGACAGGACGAAGCGTCCACGTGAGGACCTGATCTCTGCAAGGCAGGTGTTGGCGAGGGACACGGCCACGCTCTGGAGAGACCAGGCATGCGTGCACGGGAGACCGGGCCACTGTCCGAGCTGGTCACGGGGCCCGAGCGGCTCTGAGCCTGTGCATCTCCCGACAGCCCTGGGGCCCAGTCCTGGGGTGCAGAGTGCCCTCCAGGAGCTTGGTGACACTCACAGGCCTGGGTGTGGGAGACGACAGACCTCAGGGAAACCGCCCGTGCTCCTCTGGGGGACACAGAACGACTCACTGGAGAATGTCTGCAGTTGGTCAGTGCTCACTGTGAGCGACCCCAGCACCACGACTACCCAAACGCACCAGGACGCACAGTCTTTGTGCAGGTGGACACACACACACACTAAATCAACACACACACTCGTGTCTGACATTTGGATGCAATTTTAAAAACACGTCCAAACAAGACATGAACAATGACCTTTTCTGAGCAAATGTCTACTCTTTTTTAGCGAGAATACATTCATTACCAAATGTGCACACTGGCGGGCCCGCCGAGGGGGGCTGCCTTCCAGGGATCCTACTGCCCCAGACCCCTTCACCTCAGCCTGCAAGTGGGTTTTTCAGGTCTGAGTCCCTGAGGATCGTAGCTGTCCCAATTTGTGTGGCTAAAACTGATGAGCCACCCCCCCAGCCCACGAGGACATGCCCACCGCGGTCAGTCCTGATGGGGCAGGCTCCCTGCTTCCACAGGGGACCCGGATCATGGACCCCCGTGGGCTGCCTCAGCACACACAGTCTGCAGCCCCTGGGGACAGCGTGCATCTGGGGCTCCAAGCTTGGGCGTCGGATCTGGCTCTATTCGTCCCCTGCACAAATCAGACTCAAAATCCCCTAACCCGTTCCTGCCGGGCTTGGGGAAGAATCTTCCTTCTGGGAATTTTGTGTTGCACAAGACAACACGGCGCCCTGGTGAGCGTGCGTGGGCTTCGCTTGCACTGTGTCCCCAAGCCCCGCCTCCTGGGCACACCCCCCGTACAATGGGGCCCTCCTCCCCCTGCTCCCGGGCCACTCACCAAATGTGATCCGCCCTGTCCCCTCCTGGTCGATGGCCCGGAAAAGGTTGGTCACGCTGAGCTCTGCCACCCCTAAGGCAGTCTTGAGGATGCTGGACAGGGCGTCCTCATCGATGTCTCCATCCTGTGACCCATACATCTGCAGGCAGAGGCCGGCGTCACCCCATGACCCCCCAGCTGTGTAGGCCGTTTCTCCTGCTCACGGGGTTCCCAGCTCTCGAGCAGGCCCTGACCCCACTGGTTCGGAACAGCCGGAACTCCGCTCACAAACGGACCCCCACGGGGTACTGAGCTCTGAGCGCACGGCCCGCCCTCCCACTAGAGGGGCCTCCAGGCAGCAGTGTGTGTCCCCCGGGTCAGGGATGGAGCCGGCACCCTGGGCTTGCTGGCACAGGAACGGGCCTTTGCTCAGTAACACGAACGAGCCACCACCGGGCCTGACCTTCAGGAGGTGGCTGACCCACGGACCCTCCTTCCAACAGCTTCTGCTCTGGTTCTGGCAAGTGACCGAGAGAAAGGCACCGAAGGGCTGGGGCGTGCCGTGAGCCACGGTGTGTGTCCCCTGCAGGGCAAGGATGTCCGCCCCGCCAGGCAGGCCCAGCAAGGCGGCCTTGGGGGGTGCGCCTGCCCCGGATCCACCTCCTTCCACAGCCGGCAAGCCTGCCCCGCAGGCAGGAGCCTCGGCAGGGCTGCCTGGAAAACGGTCTGCTCTGTGTTCCGAGACACAAGCCAAGCACGGCCACTGTTCCCAGAGCAGACTACAAGCGGACAGCAGAGAAGGTGCCGGGTTGGGGTCCATCACAATGGGGTGTGCTGAAGGCAGGAGCGCAGAGAGGCCACGAGCCAGGTGCAGGCCTAGGGCCCTCAGAGCTAGCCTGCTCAGGCTGGAGGAGGCAGGTCAGGCCTTCCTAGACAGGGCCCACCAAATATCAGTCAGCTGGTTAATTCTCATGGTGTGATCCACATAAGGCACCGTGCACCGAGGGGGTTTCCCAGTGATGCTATGGGGAGGGGCTGCTGGGGTCATAAACAAGGAAGGGGGCATTCTCTAAGCAGTGAGAGACAAGCATCCAGCTGGCTCATACCTCAGGTTCTCATGAATCTGGTTAACGTGAGTTGCACCTGCGAGAAGTACCCATTCTGAGACCCTGACAAAATGTGTTTCTAGGTGAGTAAAGCCAGCCCAGCTCTGTCCTAGCTGACGGTGTCCTGGTGAAGCCAGCCAGGTGAATCCGCAGGTGAGCGGGGACCCCATTATGGGTGTCTCCCAGAGTCTGAGAATCCCTGCAGCAGGGGTGAATGGCTCGGCTCTGGACAGGAAGCTCCTTCGCACCCTAAGTCAGTGGGCTGATGAAGAGGTCGAGTTGGGAGAGCTGAGAGGTGTGGGGCTGCACAGGATGGCTGTGTGACACCACTTGGCGTGGGGCACTCACCAGCCCTGTCCAGGCACGCTGGAACTCACGAAGACCCTCCTCCATGCCCTTCACGTGAGTGTGGATTACGAACTGCAGGCGGAAATTGATTCGAGGAGGTTTGGGGGCATTTGTACAACAATGGCTGATAGAAGCTTCCGTGAAAATAGCAATCAGGCACAGAGTACGTCTGCCAGTGTGATAAGGCGCTGTGAAAACGTAGGCGAGGCCTGCTGTGACCCCGTGTCTCACTGTCCCTACAAATTAAATGCCCATAAACGCCACACTTGCCTTGAACGCGAGCTGGATGGTGTCCAGAGTCCGGGACGGCCGGCAGACGACAGACAGGGCGACCACGTACTCCCGAGGGTCCATCCTGCCCTCTCCGCTCTGGGAACGAGACACGCCCTCAGGGGACAACTCAGCCCCTCCCGTGGGTGGGGGGAGCTGGGTTTGAACACTCATTCCTAGACCTTCTCTGCCTCTACCAAAGGAGTATTTTGGAAGAACATTCATAACCAACTGGCTTTTGCAAGGTGGCCACACCACACACCCTTTTTAGGCCATTATGGTTGATTTTCAGAGTCCAGGAGACTCATGCCACCTGCTAAGGCTTTCCTTTGAGGAAAACCCCAGCACGTGGCAAGGGGCGTACTCGTGTTCTAAGAACCCAGTCGCATGTGGCAGAGAGGTGAGCGTGTAGAATGAAGGCGGGTCTCAGGCGACGATGTGGTCAATGCCCAGGCCTGGCCCGCTGGACACTCACTGAGCTCCACGCAGCAGGTCCTCAGTGACCCTGGGGGTCACCACGGGGACAGGCGCTGCTTCCAACCAACGGGCCACCGCAGTGAGTGGGACAAGCCAAGGGGTGGACCAGGGCAGAGGCAACTCCAGGAGCACTGTCTCCCACCCCCACGCCCGGTAGGGCCACCCATGTCCAGGGCTGCGCTGGCAAACGTGGACTCCTCGTCCAGACACGATGGGTTTCTTGATTACGGGCGTGGTTGGCTGATGTGCATGCGGCGCCACACGGGACAGTCCTCACGCACTTGGCGGAAGGCCGATGGTGACCCCGTACACCCATCATCGGGAAAGAGGCCCACTACCTAGAAATTCTGGATTTCTGGAGGAGGGAACACTCTTTGATATTTTTAGGCTTTTTAGCAATTCCATTTAAAACCCTAAACTACAGGTCTATCAGCAAATGTCAACTTAAATGTCAAACTTCTACATGCATTTAAAAGCATGGGAGAAAATACCCAAGGGACGGGGGGCTGGTCGGGGCAAGGGGGGGCCGTTTTCCCTCTCTACTTCCCAAATCCCCAAACAATGCTTATTAGGAAACAATACACATCTGAAAGCTGGAGGTTTGGCCATGAAACCCCTCCCAGGGTGACGGTCCCACCTCATCAAACAGGGAGAACATGTCCTCCAGCGTGTCTGAGACAGGGACGCCCAGGTACTCCGCAAACTCAGGGAGACCCAACTTTCCTCCCTTCTGCATCTTGGCGCTTTTGGAGTATTTATCCAGATCTTTCTCAAGTGTTTCTGGTTTTAACCTACACACAAAAAGAGAAAAAGATATTTTTCATTAAAGTTACAGAATGCCAAAAACAGGAGATTTACTGTAACGAGACTCAACAAAATATTAAAATTGCTTCTACAGTGAGCAGCAAGTTCATTTTCAACAAACTGTGTTCTAATAACTTGAAGGCACACCATGTATTCTGCCTCAGCGTCTACACGGGGGTGACACCCTGTCCGCTCTGTGGACCCCCTCGGGCAGGTGGGTGTGACCGTCAGCTGGGACCGCTGCGCTGAGCACGGAGAGTTATGAGACTTCCACGCGGACTGACGTGGACACGTGGAAAGCTCCCACAAACCCTGAGCACAAGCACCTCTCTCGGCTTGAAGGCCCAGCTGGCCCTCAGCGCCCACCGCGATCTCCGGCTTGGTCACCAACAACGGCAAGGGTGGGGGCCCCTGGGAGGGCCTGACACAAGTTTCTGGAAGCTTCCCGTCTTAGAAAAAGCATCTCAGCAGTGCTGTTCAGAACTCTCCCATTCCTGAGCGAAGCCCTCTAGTGTGGCCAGTTAAGCCACGGCGCGTGAGGGAGGGGATGGAAAAGAAAAAGCGCCACACTCACCCCAGGCCCCTCACCAGCCTGGCAAATTCTAGAAGGCAGGTGTCCGCGGGGAGACGGAGCTGTCCTTCCGCCAGGGCCAGCTGGCAGTCCTCAAACGTGTAGTCGGTTACGGAGATGCCCAGGGCCCTGCAAAGAGGAGGGCATCTTGGTCAAGCGCCCCCAGAGCAGCAGAGCGAGGAGGATGGCTCAAGGTGACCACGGGAGAGGGAGCTGCATCAAAGTAACGCAGGCCCCACTTCCCAGGCCCCTCCCCAGTGGCTCCTGACCCCGTCCACGCGGCAGTGGCACCCATCCCACGTCCCACCGAGACCCCGTGCGTCTGAGGCAGGCCGTGGCTTGTGCGTGAGGACATGCACTTGGGGTCGGCGATCCCTCCCTCTGGGGCTCATGAAGCTTATCTGCAAGTCATGCTTTTGCAGGGGTATCCGCGTGCTAATTTTGTGGCCCCCATAAACCTTGTTTTAGTTAAACAGGAAGAAATTGCTACGAATACAGGTAGTGTCCAGGGCGGCCGTGCAGGCCATGGAAAGAACAACTTCCCGAGAACGTGGGAGGCCCACGGGAGCCGCAGCTGGAGGTCGGCGGCTTCGCTCTGGAAAGCCCCGGGGAGTCGGCGGCGCTGGGGTGAGGAAAGGACTCCAGGAAGCAGGAGGAAGTGTCCAGAACGAAGCCAACGTTTAAGACTGGACTAAAGCACAGGAATCTGTGAAGATGTCTGCCAGGCCGGTGAACCGTTCTCGAGCCTGTAGGGGCCCGTCAGGCGGCCGTGAGTAGTGCTCTGTCCCTTCGGCTGCTGGGAGCCCAGCAAGGCCGTCTCCTGCCATTCCATCAGAGAAAGCCCCAGCAGATGGCAGAAGCCCTCGCGGCAGCCTGTGCTCCGTGAGATAAAGCCGGGAAGGCCTTGTGGGAGGGACACCCTGAAAACTTCCCCCGGGTCTGGACACGTGGAGGAGGACAGGCTTCGTCCCCCCAAGCTGTCCACAGACAGGAAAAACCCTCTCTCCCATCCGCTCCCACGTGTCCCTCCCCAAGAAGGGGCGTCTGGGCAGGGCCTGTGCAGGCCAGAACCTGGGGGAAAGAAGGGGGAGGCGATGGGGGTCCAAGCAGGGGCGCTATGGTCCCGGGCGCTCGCCCCAGGGCGCTGCGGGACCAGAGTTCTCACGCTCGCCCATGGAAGCACCCTGTCACAGAGATGTCTGCCCTGGGAGCCACTGGGTGGCGAGCACTCTGAACGCTGACATGCACAGAAAGACAATGTTTCAAGTCCACATCTGGCACTAAACATGAACGCTTAGCAGTGGACCCCAAAGTCCAATCACATAGAACCTGGGGCTCCCCCAAGCTTTGCGGTTAGCTGAGTATTACTGTGGTTTCCTCCCTGCTAGGAAGCAAGTGTGCAGCTGGTGTCGAGGATACCACTCCACCGGGTGTCTAACTTGGAAGCTCGACTCATCTTAGGGGTGACCAGGGGTCGCCTTCATCGGGGCTGGTGGTGCCCCGAAGTCAGAGCTCAGCCATTCTAAAGAACTGCATCAGATCTCATGAAAAATGCCCTTCTTCTATTAAAGGAAACAATGGTAGAAAATGTGCCAAGTATTTAAAACTAAGCCCCCTCCCCCAATAGCCGAACGGGCTCTTAATCATCTCCACAGTAGTTCCTCCCTGCCGTGACGGTACCGTGCAATTGTGGCTAGGACACAGGGGCTTCGAAGTCTTTCTTCCACAGCTAGTACGACCCCGCTCGGCAACCGGGGTACCGTCGTGTGGGGACAGAAGCTAGGATTACCAGGAGCATCTCGGGTTATCCCACAAGGAGGCAGGAGGAGGCGCACTCGGGCTGCCCGCGATGCTCACGGGGCCTGGGCCGTTCTCGGTGGGTGCAAGGACCCACTTCCACGTTTCTGGGTTCTCCCATGGCTGCTGGGGCAGGGGGATGCCCAGTGGCTAATCTGCCCTTTTCCATTCGATGTTAAGATGCTTCTCTTCCATTAACATAGAGAATTTATGATATATATATTTTTCTAATATAATTAGCTAATTTATTTGAATGTGATCTAAAAAAATTTACACCTAACCTGTCAAACCTTTGATTCCGTGGAGATTATTTCTTTATCAAGAGGTTGAACACCCTGACTTCCCCCAAATTGAGAGTCAAGTGCATCCTGACAGCCGACTGCTCTCCATGCGTCCTGGTGTGGGATTCCGAGAGTGAGCAGATGAATTCTGGTGAGTGGATGCCCGAGGAGGCTGGGGGCGCTCCACTGGACTCTGTCCCTAGCACCTACCTTCCTGAGGGGCGTGCGGACAATGTCTGAATACCCTGCAAAGTTTTACTTTACATATGTTGAGGTTATAATTTTGCTTAGTACAGTCTCACAGAATACATGAATGTGGGCGGTCTGATGGGCACACAGTGAGGGGATGGGGCTGACTTCACACCTCGGTCACACCAGCTCGGCCACAGTGCAGGGAAAACCCCTCCAGAGCCACACGAACCTCCCACGAGGCGGGGGGGCACGCCTGTGGAGCCGCTGAGAACCTCCCCCCGCACCACGGTGGCCAAACAAGAGGCAGCCCCTGCTGCCCGGGAGCAGAAGAGAGGAGGAGAGAGAAGACGGGACAGGGCAGGTGAGGGTAGGAAGGTAGGAAGAAACGCAGGGCGCAGGCTGATGTCACCCCATCCAAGATAGCCGGGAACGGTGTGGAATCAGGAAGCAAGAAACTTCGAACGGCACGCTCACTTGTCGTGGAATTAGCGCACATTATCTTAGGAGATCAGCGTATAGTTCCCACACTGAATCTGGTAAGATGGAATAAGAGCACCAGCAAAGACCACACGAGCAGATGAAGAACGTGAAGAGGAAGATCGTCCCGCGGGCTGCCAGGCAGAGCTAGCATCCCCATCGCGTGCACGGACCCGGCGCCCTGGTGACCGGTTCCTACCACACGGGGGAAATTTATGAGGTTAGGTGACGATGACGCAGATCCAGAAGCAGGACCCGGCAGAGACCGGGGGTCGCCTGCCCACATGCACAGTCAGCACTTACTCATTTGCTTCTGCAAAGACCTGTTTTCCGAATGCCACTATGGTCTGTGCCATGCGAAGGAGGAACCAGCCCATGCATGGACACCCTGACACTCCGAGGGTTCCCAGGGGACGGGGGTGTTCGGAGGACGCCGCGGACTCGACACGGCACGACGCGGGGCACTCACTCGGCCATGACGCGCCGCACGTTGCTGGCGTACAGTGCGGGGTCCTTCTTCTCTTCCTCCGAAGGGCTGTACACGGGGAGGAACTGAGCACAGAGAGAGCTGCGTTACTTCCATGCGCATCACAAGCCCACCACAGTGCAGTCATGAGTCTAACACGATGAAGATCTGTCAGAGCAGCTTCCATCAGAACCACCTCAATGTGGCCACGGTGTGCACGCACACGCACACGCGCACACATGTACATGCGTGTGAACACAACCCACGATTCCTCAGGACCGCTCGCTCCCCCGAGACAGAAGCTCGTGCTTGCCAGGGCACTCCGTATTTCTAATTTCACACGGAAGCCTTCTCTCGGGGTGCACAAGAATTACATGTGTGCTCCTCTTTCTAAAAGTCTCCGCTTGTGTTGGGGAGAACACAACACACGGTTAAATAAGCCCCACACTTGGCTGCCAACTCCACTGTGCAGAAAGCCAAACATCACCGAGCCCTTTTTCTTTAATACAGACACACAACAATACGGGGACACCCCGAAGCCTTATTAGTTCCCACCACGTGGTTTCAGGCATTCCCCGCCACTGTATACCACACACCACGGAAATCGTGGCAGGTGCTCCCGTCAGCACTGATACCTGTCAGCACAGAACGAGTGAAGACACTTAAAGGGGTTTCAGAAAGTCAGAGTTTCCTTTAAGCTCTGAAAACTGTGGGGATGCCTGGTGGCTCAGTCGGTCAAGCATCTGCCTTCGGCTCAGGTCATGATCCCGGGGTCCTGGGATCGAGCCCCGCATCGGGCTCCCTGCTCGGCGGGAGGCCTGCTTCTCCCTCTGCTGCTCCCCCTGCTTGTGCTCGCTCGCTCTCTCTCTCTCTGACAAATAATTAAATCTTAAAAAATAAAAACCAACTCTGAAAACTGGAACTGAGGCCTGAAATAGAGAAGTGCACACTGGAGGTGTCCTCCCCTGAGCCCCGCTGCACGGCTGCTTCCCAGCCAGCCGCAGATGAGCCACATATAACATTCTACGTGGATGGCTGCCACCCTTGGACTCGGGCCAGGGACCTTTCGGCTCAGTGTGTTGTAATTAAGTGGCTTATGTTGTACTGAAGTGAAAAATCTGGAACCTGGCTGAAATCCATGTAAATTCAGTGCAACTCTGCAACTTTTATCAGAAGGTAGCAAACTGCCTCATTAAACCCTTTCCGTTGTTTTCGGGCTCCCTTTTCAGGGGCAGAGTAGCCGACTGATTCCCTTTTAAGAAAGAGACTCTATTCCTCATCCCCTTGGATAAAACGTACACGCTACACAAACGTGGCTATTGAATTGAGCCGAGAGAATGGGTATCATGACTTTGGCACATACAACGGGCTGAAAGCTGGAGGCAGGTTATGTGATCTGTCCACGGACTAGACAGAGAATGACAGGACGACAGATCTGCCATATGAATCCGGCAGCATCGGTATCATGTAAAAATGCCGAGACATAATTCACTGCACATGTGCCAATTTTAAATGCCTTTAAGCTACGCTCACCATAATAAAAGAAGGGTTTAACTTCCTTGTTGATTTTTAAAGACCTATTTGATTCTTGCAAAATCATGCAAGAGACACAATGTGACTGATGAAAAACCACAGGGAAGTACCTCTGAGGAGCAGAGAGAAGTGGAAAGATTTCAAAGCAAGACAGATGACACACAATGTTGTATTTGTACGGACAGCAACGTGACATGTAGCACATCGTGTCTGTGTAGATACCAGCACTATCTCTAGAGATGCCCACATCTCATTGTATCTGCAGACACCAGTAAAGCCTCACGGCCACACAGATAACATCATGTTGTCTCAGACACCGACAGAACACCGCATCCACAACGTAACACTGTGTAACACTGTATGCACACAGATGCACGTGGCCAACGTAACAGGGGATCGCTCCGCATGGGGGCCGGCGCCGACATTCGTAACAGCGGATGTGCACAGACTCTGCCAAAGGTTGCCTAACACTGTATGTGCACAGGGAACAGCATGTACGTTATAGCTGTGCAGACCCCGACGTAACATTGTACCACATTGCATCTGGACAGCCTACACAGCACTCTGGCTCTGCATCTTTACAGACCCGCGCGTAACGCTGTTTAACACTGCATCTGTACGAACCTCGATTTCCACTCGATTGTGGAACTGACACAGTGTGAGCCACAGGATTTTCAACCTTGAAAATGAACAGATTTACAGCATTGGTTAAAAGATTCTCAATGTCTTTTAATTAAATTACTTCCAATTCTGGAGCAAACTCCCCAGACGCCTGTCCCCTGCAGAGGGCGCTATTGGGCAGTTAATTTGCTCAGGGGCTGCTGTGCCTCCCTCAGCCTAAAGCCGAGCCTCACAACGCTGTGATGAGGATGGGGCTACCCTTACTAATCAGGGTTCCTCACTGTCCCAACAAATGCACCCACTCCTGCAGCTCTCCTTTGCCCTGCATGCCCCCATTTCCCAAGTGTGTCTTCTGGCTCAGGAGACCTCCTCTACGTGACACTGTCCCAGACCTGGCTGTCCCCAGGCAATGCAGACTCAACAGGCCCTGAGTCATGCCACCCCCGAGGCCGGCCCCAGAGCTCCTGACCTCAGAAACGGCATCACCACCCTTTATTTGCAGAAGCTGGAAATGGGGAGCCATCTGGAGTCTCTTGTCCTTGGGCCATTGCTCCTCTCCGCAGTGGGCAACTGTCCTCTGAACTCTCTCTTGTACATACCCGACTTCTGCCCTATCACTGCCAGGCCCAAGCCTGGCTACCAAGGCCCAAAGGAGCCCTTCCCACCTTTCTCCCAGCGTCCCCCTGGCTTCTCACCCTCCACCCTCCACACTCTGGCCTCAGCAGCGTAAGCACCAGCACCCACATATGCTGCCCCTCGGGGCACCTCCCCTCCCCAGCATCCGTTCCAAATGCCGTGCCCAGGGGAGGGCTCTGCCTGGCCCCACCACCCACCCTTCTGCTGCACCAGGTCAAAGGCTGGCACCACGGAGGCCTGCTGTCCTAGAACCCGAGCCTCCCCCGTGCAGCTGTTTAAGAGGAGGACCGTCCCTGCAGCTCCCCTTTCTTTTCCAGGAGCTGCGGGGTGCGGTGCGGATGGGATGGTGGCCACTGAGCCGACAGGCACACGTGGGGACGAAAGAGCACTCACAGTCACCTTCCCTCTGGAGTTGAAGACCATTAACTTGGGTCCTGGAACCCAGGAGTGTGCGAGCAGGCCAGGCTTGCACACTTAGTTTTCACAGCGGGCAGACCCTGACTGCTGTCAGACAGCAGTGGGTTATGTGTTCTGAGGACCCACATTTGCAGAAGTGCCCAGAATGCAGGGCAGTCACTTGAGCGGCCCCTGTGCTTTCCCAGCAGGACAGGACACACAAGGCACTACAGGGTCTGACTTACGCTCCGGGGCCTTGCCAGGTCCACGTGATGGTGTCCTGGGGGCAAGAAAGGAGCAAAGTGAATCACAGCTGGAAATCAGGCACCCGGAGTTCCCTCATGAGCCCTTCCTTCCACGGTGTGCCCTCCCTCTGTCCTGGCCCTCAACCTGGCCCACCTCTGACCCCAGAGATGCTGGTACCCTTCTTCCTCCCAAGCCCACTCTGGGACAAGGGAGCAGGTGGGTGCTCATCACCTCCAGGCCACCCAGACACACTCCTCTCCTCCCACAGCTCCAAGGTCCGCAATTCTGCCGTCAGCCTGAGATGCTGCCCCGGTTCCGTTTTCTGCCCTTCCCTGTGTTCAAGGCATCCCTGCCAGTATCAGTCCACAGCGCAGGAACCTGCTTTTCGCGAGCAGTCCCCGTGACACCTGCCCTGTCATCACCATCACCTGCCACATGAGGCTCATTCCAACCCACACCCACCTGTACCCCCAAGGCCCTGGCCTCCACTCTGGGCCAGAGACGCCTAGCAGATGAGCCGAGGCTTGGGAGGGAGCAGAAGAAACCACTGCAGAGCCCCAAGCGTGCCCAGGACCCCGAGTGTCGTGGGCGCCCCCCATCTGCAGTCTTGGCTGCTGCACCAGCCACCTAGGTGGGGACGTGGGAGGACACACACCCTGCTTCTACCCTGACACTGGGCTTCTTTCTTCCGAAATCCTGATACCCACCTGCTGGCTTCCCATGGACTCCTGAAAAGCCACCCACCACAGGGGCTTCCCCGGCCCCCGACCTGCCCTCAGCCACTCGTCCTCCACACGGGCCTGCGCGCAAAGCTGTTAGTGGTGGTTCTCCCTGAAGCTAGGCCGCTGAAGAACGCGACACAGACTGATGGGATGAGTGAGCAAAGCAGCTGTCCTGCTTCTCTGACAACTGAGAACCCAGTAGAGGCAATCTGCTTAAAGTAAGTTGACGAAACAAGCTTAAAGAAATACAAAATATAGAATTCCACACACTGACCATTCTCTTAGTCTCAGACGCTGGCTAATGAATGCGCCTCTTCAGAGTTTCTGGTGTGCACGTCACAGTCATTTTATCTGTCAGTTTGTGCGGCTACGGGTTCTGACCGACATCTACCAACTGACCCCTTGGAGAACCTCTTTTGTGCCGTGTGCACCTGTAGGCACAGGGTCTGGTGTGTAAACCTGGGACCCTCCGGGTCTGGCCCAGAGGTGGGGGGCCGGCCCCTCATGCCCACAGATGTCACACGTAATTCTGCCTCCATCTAGGCTAGCAACTCCAGACCGCACCATGTTGTGACTGCTGAGTTTCTTTTTTGTCGTCATGAAGACGCACCATGACAGGGAGAAAACTCAGTGCAGTGAACAAACCCAACTCACGTGTCCCCCATCAAGAAACAGTCCAGTGCACCCGCATCCACGCAGGGCCCGGGGACACGAGTCTCAGCGGTGAGAGCCCGATGCCGATGCAGGGGCAAGGACATCCACCAGGACGGGGTCACGGCAGAAGTGAGATACAGCCGGCGCTGAACAGCACCCACCGGAGCTCGGTGCCTGCCCTGGGGAGTGCGGCCCACTGAACCGGATGTGTGTGGCACGTCCACAGGGCCCCCGGGGGAAGGGACAGCTGCGGATGCTCAGACAGACACGCGGTGGGGCTCTGACCACAACCCGCAGAGGCTTCTTCTGGCCTTCCTGCCTTCCTGCCTCCCCCGAGCTGGGGGTCTGTCAAGATCACCCAGGCACTCGGAGCCCCAAACACCCCCTCTTTTACTTTGCTCTGACATAACAAGTGAAGACCTCCGCACACAGAGGCATATTCAATACAGAGTCGCTTACGCCTTTCCCGCCCGCTGCCCCCAGCCTTTCAGAACTTAGATTCTCTCAATGCTCCTGTTTCCCAGGTGAACAGAGAGCTAAGGCTGCTGAGGACGAGGGCGGATGGCTCACATCAACTTGGCAGGACCGATCAGCGGGGAGGAAGGCCCACCGCTCCATGACCTGTGACAACAGCCCTTCCTGCACGAACACTGGAGTGGTCCTGGAATCGCGGATTGGCTAGAAATGACCCGCTGAGGCGCCGGGAATTCGCATTCCCAGGCAGGTCACTGTAACCCCAGGAAATACACTGACCAGTTTATTCGGGTACCGTAGAGCCACAGGCTGCACAGGAACTCCAGGGATGAAGGCACCTGGGGGAAAAGGGGCGTCATCTTACTTCGAGGGCAGAGCTCCTCTGCCGGGGGCCCGTCTCATGCTGGTCCCAGAGGAAAGCAGCGTTTCTGCCCCCCTTCCTGGTGAATGGTCACGGGGTGCCTGGAAGGCTCCCTCAACATGGCTGTTGGCCGTGTCATGTCAGGAAGACCGCAGGCTTGCAGCCCTGCCCTGCAGGGAACGGGCCCAGGAGTGTCTCCCCCACTTTGCTCAAGGAGGAAAACAGAATTTAAGAAAATTACATACCAGGCTTGAAGGTAATTAGGCAGGTCCTGTTGGTACATGTTCCTTCTGGAAAAATCATTATCTTGGAATGAAAAGAAAAAAAGGTCAGCCTTAAAGGAACAGAATCCAGAATACGGTCTATTTTCTCCACTGCTGAGATGCTTTAATCACACTCACTCAAAACGGCTTAGACGCATGACGGAAGCATGCGTGGATTTCCTAAGTGTAAGTTCTATTAAGATCTGGAAGCAATGCAAACATGCAGACAGCACACGCCTCCTCAGAGCGTGCGTGGGGGTGATCACGGCCACCGTGAGGCCGAGCTACTGCTGCCTGGACACCCTGGCAGCACGCAGCCTCCCCCCCGGGGCAACGCGGGACGAGGGCACACAGAGGAGGGCTCAGCGAAGGGCGCTCGGCTGACGGCATCGGGACCAGGGCTAGAACCGAGGCACAGCCGGGCCAGCAACCAGAAACACCGCAAAACCAGCGGTTAAACACCTCCCCCACTGGAACCCCAAATTACTCAGACTCGTACTGACCTCTAGCCACACGATGTAAACTAAACTCTGCCCCCTGCACCGGAAACTACAGCCCACGTGGCTGCATCCGGAGGTGGGGCGCCAGGCACCCTGGACGTCGCGGCCCCGAGGGGCTGCCCGTGGGCGGGGGTGCCCGGCAGTCAGGCCTTCCAATGTTCTCTGAGCACCCAGAACCTGGACAGTCCCAGGGAGCTCAGCTTCTCGGGCTCGGCTCAAGGAAATACAGCTGACACTGGCTGAGGCCACCGCCCCGCCGCCCGCGACAGGCCTTCCTGACGCCCCCTCGGGCGCCGGGCACATGTGGGCAAGCTCCGCCTCACGGACCGGCGCACTCGTCAGATGTGAGACCGTGCCAAGCGCGAGGGCAGGAGGTTACAAGCAGAGTCATTTCAGTAAAGATGCTTTGGGAACTTGGGATACGCATGAGAACGGTCTTCTCGTTTGTTTCAATTTTCAAATTTTAGGACCAAAAGTACCTGACACTTAACACAAACTTGAATTCACATGCTCATCAAACAAAATGAAAGAAAACGAACCTGGCCCCCAGGGAAGGCCCCCATCTCTAGGCTCACATCTTCCGGAATAAATGTGCTCAAAACACAAGCAGGACTGCATTACCTGTGGCCACTTTCCATTCGACTGTGCCCGCCTCCTGATCTCCTCCACGGTCTTCCTTCGGGAATCCTGGTCTGACCGGGACACGAACACTGGCCGGATGTACTTTATCAGAGCTGGAAGGGGAGGAGGGGCTTTCGTTGGGAACCATGGCATCTGCCGCAGCAGGACTGGAGGGACAAGGGCTGCCCATGGCAGGGGGGCACACGCGAGCCCCCAGAGATGCCCCGAGGGCAGCACTGTCCCCGAGGGTGGGTGGGTTGTTGGGTCGATGTCTGATCATGAGGGGATCAGGAAAATCACAGAAGCTCCCTCCCACGATGGCACGAAACCCCACAACCTGCGAAGTCCAAAGTAACGACACCGGCGTCCACAGGCTGTAAAGCAGGAGAAAGCAACGAGAAGAGGCTGGCAGAGGAGGGCGTTGGCGGGGCAAGGGCTCCAGAGTCAGAAGGGCCCGAGGCGCATGGCTTAAACCCCACCACCCTGTTACGTGTAGACCTGTCTCCCTCAAAGACACAGGCTGACGTGCTGACCCCAGGTACCTAGGCCTGTGACTGTATTTGGAAATCGGGTGCTTGCAGATGCAACTGAGCTAAGATAACGTAGTGTTGGAGCAGGGTGCACCCTGACCCACGCCCAGCGTCCTCTCAAGGAGGGAGAGACATGGGTGTGCACGCAGGGAAAAGGCCACGGGACAGCAGAGGCCAAGACCGGAGTGATGTGACCAGAGCCACTGGACGCCGGGGACGGTGGGGAACCGCCAGAGGCTGCGGAGGCCTGGCACGGCCTCTCCCCAGAAGCTGCCCTGCTCACACCTTGACTCTGGACTCCCGGCCCCCAGGACAGTGTGAGAATCAACATCTGCTGTCTTCAGCGGCCCAGCGTGCGGCCCTCTGTCGGGGGCGTCCCAGGACACTCACACAGCGGCGGTCCTAACTGGCTCGGCCCAGGGGGCCCACGGCCCTGCTGGGGTGGCAGGTCAGTGCCCTCGTGACCAGAGCGGACAGCAGCAACCAGCACACGGTTCTCGCGCAAGAGGATCTGAAGGTGGGGAGACACTTCTTAGAAGAGAAACCCCAAACTGACAGGACAGTCATCCTGAGGGAGGGTGTCCTCTCCCAGGAAGGACGAGTGGGTGGCCGTGGCAGCCGGGCATCCCCATGGGTGAGACACGTCCCCGCTGGGCCCAACATCAGCTCGGACTTTTCTAACTACTCGTAGGAATAACATGTGACTCTTCTTTCTGGGAGGGCTTCCAAAAAACAAAGAGAAAATTCACTATAAAAAAAAAAGAAAGAAAGAACAAAACTCTATCTCGTCAGGTCCACGGGACTCAAAATCTAAGCTGCATGTGGGTCTCAGTGATATTTTCGTCCGGCATCTGGAAACTTCTTTCCCAGATGCATCGTTCTTGCCAATTCCTTCTGACTCTGGAGTGACACGCGGGGAAAGGGCCGAGGAGATCCCCCGCAGGACAGGACAATGGGAAGGCGCCCAGCTTCCCACTGTCCACACCAGCTCCGCACAGTCTTCCCAGGGCGGGAGAGAAGGGCTGCAGGCTGGCTGGTCTCCCTGAACAGCGTTCCCCTTTCCTGGCGACACGGATGAGGACGGTTCTCCGCCACTCATGGACGAGCCTGGAGCTCCAGGCAGAGGTGGGGAGCGGCTTCCTGGGCTCCGAGGATGACGGGGCTTCATCCTGACTGACATCTCAGACTGCACCTCTTTCTGGGACTCCCCAGGTGAACACCCACGCTGGAGACCTCACAACTGAAGAGCTTGCTTCTGAGGACAGAGAGGAAATGTGGCTGCCCGCCGGGTAAGCCCCAGCGGTGCTGTCAATGAGGGGCCGGGCAACAAGACCGTGAGCCGGCTCTGTCATCTCTGACACTGAGCACCAAACCTCCTCAGGTCTGTAAACGCCCAGGTGCCCATATCAAGGACACTGAAAGTAAACCAACAATGTAACAATGAGAAAGATCACTGGGCTGATTACTCTAACTGGTATTTACAAATCTGAAGGTGAAAATATTTTGAATATTTTTAACATTCATCTCTTCACCAAAGTCGTGAGCTGTCAAAGGGTCCAAAGCTTCGTGCTTTAAACAACAAGGACAAGAGGAACCAGAAGGAACGGCCAGCGAGACCCCCCCCGCGACGCAGGAATCCAGACTTGCGTCACAGGGTGTGTTCTGGTCACGCATGGTGGGAGAAGCCCTCAGCTGCATTCCTGGGGGAGAGTCCCTTTCAGGCGTATTTACCTTCAAAACCCAGAGAAAAGGAATACAATTTGGGATGTGCCATATATGAGTTCTAATTAAAATCTATAATAAGTGGGTCCATCACCACTCCTTCACTCTTATCGCTATGCTATCCCTGAAATGAGTGGGAATGTAAGTCTACATGAAGGACCCCCGCACACAGAGGACATGTTGGTGGCCCTCCCTTCTGACACCCCAAGGTTAAGGTCAGTGATGTGGGGCATGGAGCTCAGCTCTGACCTTGCAGCCCCCAGCACGTTCAGCCAATGGAGTTGGCTTTCGAACCCTGACCTTGGGAAGTGGATGAGCAGGTCCAACTATGAGCCTCCATGATTCTAACTTGTGACTCGAGCCATAATTGAAGGCAAGGTTTCGAGAAGGCTTTGCGTAATTTGTACACGAATGAGGGGGAGATGACATGCCCCCCCAAATCCCAGCACTTCCCCAGAATGCTGACATTCCACAGCCTGAAGCTTAAAACTTAAAATAAGAAATCGGAACAAAATTGCAAAATTGAAATAGCTTCCCGCGTCCTTTGCCAGAGACCACACTGCTTTATACTTAGGAGCCTGTGATGACCTTCTAGCATTATTAAAGTGAAATGCATATTTGCTAATTACCAGAGTCTCTGCCTGGCTTTCAGAAAATTCTCGGTTTAACCCGACTTTCCAGGCACATGACATATAAACCTTTATTTGGATAACCAGGCTCAAAATTACTGGCCCTATATGTCCATGGCCAGTGTCCCCATGTATCTGCACACCTTCCGCAGGAAGTTCCGCAAGGGGAGGGCTAGCCTGCCGGCTCTGTAGGACAGCTGCCTTCATTTCATTTTGGTTCTGTAACCGCCAGCACTGAAACCACCTTGGCTGAGACCGTTAGGTCTAAATGGAGGATCTGTGTCCCCATTCCCAGGGACAAGACCACGGAGGGTCCTAACTGCTCACCCCTCCTCTCTGCTTTCCACCGTGTGAGCACACAGCGAGAAGGTGGCTGTCTGCAGCCCAGAAGAGGCTCTTGCCACAACCCCACCCTGCTGGCCCCCCTGATCCCAGACTCCCAGCTTCCAGGAGCGTGGATGTGAACGGCTGCTGTTTAAAAGCCACCCAGCGTGTGGTGCTTTGTGACAGCTATCTGAGCAGACACCCTCTGATCCACAGTCAAGTAAATGCTGGTTAGCATCTCTTTGGCCAAAAGCACACAACGTATTGGGCCCCCTCAGAATGTCCCACTTACTAGAAAGACAACATAAAATGTACACAATGTTCTCTCTTAACTGTCACCTGAACAGTAACATGAGTTAGGGAACTCAGGAGAATTCAGAGAAGGCGGACAGAGTGAGGACCTTCTGCCCCTGCAGCTCTGGCCCCAGGACCACGCACCTCCGCCTGGACCAGCCCTGCTCCAGACTCCACTGCGGACATGCTCAGCATGACATGCCCACGGTCTAAACAGTGAGGGGTGGGCAGAGGAGAGTGACGGTGGGGTGGGGCCCCCCCCAGGAGCAGCCTGGAGGAACCAGGGCTGCGTGGCAACCCCTGGCGCAGAAACCAGGGGGATGAGAACCAGGAACAGGTGGGCTGGCCCTGCAGGGCACCTGGACAGCTCCGGCGAGGGCCCGGCCGGGAGGAGGAAGGTGCTTTCATTTGTGGGCTGACTGCCCCGCATTCCCTGTAGTTCCCAAGGTAATGGTGCAATATGTCCCCAAAGTGATGTGTTCACATCCTAACCCCTGAGACCTGTGACTGAAACCTTATTTGGGAAATCAATCTTTGCAGATGCAATTAGTTATGCACCTGGAGATGAGATTACCCTAGACCATCCAAGGACAAGTGTCCTTGTAAGAGACACACAGGGAGACACACGTTGGGGAGGCCTGTGAGGAGGGAGGCTGGGGCGGTAAAGATGCGGCCACGAGCCCGGGACTACCCAGGGTGCCAGGAGCTGCACCAGGAGATGGAAGAGGCAGGAAGGACCTTCCCCGAAAGCCTCCAGAAGAAGCGAGGCTTTGGACACTTTGGCCTTAGAGTTTTGGCTCCAGAATTGTGAGAGTGTAAGTTTCTGCTTTCTTAAGCCACCAGCTGGGTAATTTACCACGTGGCCGAGGGACACCTGCACACCTGGGCTTTTGGTCCCATAACCAGGGCACTGGGACACAGACACTTCTAGGACCGTGTGACACAGACCCTGCACGCCAGGGACAAAACGTGAGCAGGGAATTCGACACATGACGTTTGAGGGCACTTGTGTGTGAACCAAAAATAAAACCCACAACAACTAACGTTACAGAGGAAACCACAACAAAGGAAACAGAAGAGACTCAAGGACAAATGCCTATTTCATGTGGGTGTGACCTGCACGGACCAGCAGGATGGAGGGGGCTCGCCCACTCCAGGGGGGGACTTGCTCACTTCCAGTAGGATGGGGGGGGTCTCGCTCACTCCCAGCAGGATGGGGGGGGGGTCTCGCTCACTCCCAGGATGGGGAGGGTCTCCCTTCCTCCCATCGGGGGGTGGGTGGGGGAGCTCACTCACTTCCCCATATTGGGATGTCTCTGCTCTCTGCCTTCATCACGATGGAGGACATCGTCAGGGTGACAGCGATGGCATCGAAGTAGGAGGAGTGCGGAGCCAGGGTGAGGATGGTGGCCTCAGACGGAGAGGCCTGCTGTCCCTTCGTGACCACCCAGTGGAAGCCGCCGGAAAACCACATGGTGCGCATGATGGCCTTGAGCAGGAAGTCCACAACCCTGCAAAACAAGGTGCTGCGGTTACCCCAGGCCAGAGCAGGGGTGTCACGGGCGCCATGCTCAGCTCGCTAGTGCAAGGCTGACCCGTGGACACGGATGCTAGAAACTTGGCACTGACCTCGGGCGGGTCATCCAGGGCGCGCTCTAGACCCACCCAAACCCCACGACAGCAGTTACTGCATCGTCCGGATGCTGTGCTTCCCTCCCCTCTACTAAACGTGGGGTGGGTTGCGTTTTTATTAATTTAGCCAAGAAAACAGAAGTGCTGTCTCTGCCCCGAGACACAGCGTCACGAAGACCGACACCGACTCCTGAAGAGAGGAAGCAGAGCAAGGACACAGATGATGTTAAAGCCACTGGGACCTTAAGTGCTGGAAGGTGATTTATTAGCATAAATGAAAAAAAAACCCACTAAGATATCTAAAACGCCATTAAAATCAGGAGTGACGTTGGGGCTGAGACCAGGGGCAGAGGTCTGTGGCGAGCCACTCCCGTCCCCTGCGCTCAGGCTTCTGAGGTCCCAGAATCAGATGCCATGTTACTAAAGCAAGACTCTTCTCGATGAAACTAGATGGATAAATGTGGAAAATAAAATAACAATCAGCCTGGATTAACTTGCTTCCTATTTGTTTTTTAAACATATGAGAACGTTATTTATTTATTTATTTTTAAAAAGATTCTATGTATTTGACAGAGAGAGAGACAGCGAGAGAGGAAACACAAGCAGGGGGAGTGGGAGAGGGGAGAAGGAGGCTTTCCGCCGAGCAGGGAGCCCGATGTGGGACTCGATCCCAGGACCCTGGGATCATGACCTGAGCTGAAGGCAGACGCCCAATGACTGAGCCACCCAGGCGCCCCAAACATACGAGAATTTCGGCATTTAAATCTGCACATCCCTCTCAGTGTCACCTGTGACCAGCTGCAACTAGATGAAGACCCACGTCACTGAAACTGCACGGAGGCAAAAGGCCCGGCACGTGAGTGACCACGGGCCCAGGAGAAGGGGTCACCTCTGTGAGGAGCCGCGTCACACTGGGCTGCTGGGTTACGCAGATGGTCAGACTGCACAACAGAAACCTAAGAGCCTGAAACCTCACTGGACTGGTCCCCAAGGGGCTTAAAAACCCTCTCAAGAGCATCCTGGAAGGTGAGGCCCCACAGCCCCGAGCAGTAGCCAATCCCCAGATGAGCACCAAGTCCCTGGTGGAGCCACGTCGAGAAGGCCCCCGTTGGGATGGGGAACGGTCAGTGTGTGGTTGTATGCTGAGATGCTGGGGCCCGGCTTTGATGCCCCATCTCCAGCACTGGGTGTGAACAAAGGTATGCACTTTTCACTATTTGTCCAACCGCATAGTTTTGAACACGCTTGTCTGCACGCACGCTACTTTTCATAAGAACACGTTCAGAAATAAAAGCCAAGAGATATCCACTGGTACACGAGGAAGAAATGAGGCTTTGTGCAGGGGGACCCAGAGCCAGGCCCAGGAAGTCGTACTCTGAGGAAGGCGGAGAGGGAGCTGCTCGGAAGTGGGGACCTCCGGATGTGTCTGTGAGAGACACACCCACCAGCCCTCAGGTCCGAAGGCCAAAGGACACTAAACAGAAATGCGGGGGGGAGGATGGATGCACCACACCTAACGATTCTCTCAAGATCTCAGAGGAATTCCAGCCCCAGTGAGACCATGCACTGGGCAGAGCCAGCCTGTGGGTGCAGATGCAGGCCCAGAGCAAGCCCCGCACGATGCCCCCTGCCCACCGCAGAGGCAGCCAGCAACAAGCCCGAGGTGCCCACAGAGCGATTCCCGGGAGCAGTGAGTCGGGAGACAGAACTACAGGCACAAGGGCAGCGACCTCCAGCCTTTGCCGCATCCTCCGTTCATCGCCCCCGGGGGCGGGGGAGGGCGCCCTAGAATCTGAGACGCGAGCAGAACCAGCCACGGGGCAGAGAAGAGACTCTGATGCGAGGAGACGTGGTGGCCGGCGTCAGGAGAGAGGCTGGGAGTCCACACTCTCCTCAGGTCGTGATGGAATCCAGGACAGAGAACAAGAACGCACACTCGGAAATCCAGTATGTCACTGCTCAAAGAGCCAGTTCCCCGGGGAAGCTGGAGGATGAGAAGGAAGTCTCCGGAACACGCCGGAGAAAAGGGACAGCACCCCGGACAGGAAGGGAACAGTTTCTTAGGGCTGAAGACAGACACAGATCTTCAGCACCACGTCAAGGAGCAGAATGAATTTAAGACAAAACGACAATTTCCTTGAGAACTTCTCAAATTCCTGAGGACAGAGAGAAGAGTCCAAAACTCACAGAGAGGAACATGTAGGCTCCCCGAGCGTCACCGCCAAAGGGGCCGGCAGCTTCGCGGCTCTGGGGCCGTAAGATCTGGAACCCATAGTTCTCTGCCCGGACCAGCTACCCATCAACATTGAGGGGAGAATGAAGACACATTCAGACGCGAAACGCACCTGAGTTTCTCCTGTTTGTCCTCTTTCTGAGACAAAACCTACGCTCCAGGAAATCTTGAGAGGGAAAAATGAGAAAAAAGAAAGAAAAACCCCAAACCAGGCCCAGGAGATAGATCACGGCCAAAAGATTTGCAGGAAGGCACTGCATCCGGCAGAAGAGTGACTTGTGGGGGATCAGGGGCTCTGGGACTCTGGGAAGAGAGTGTAATTCCAGCAAGGCGGCGAGACCACGAGGGGGCAGAACTGTAAGGCTACGCTCAGTGCTCCTTATTCTGTAGCAACAGGCAAAACGTGAGTCTGACTGTAACGGGAGATAAGGTTAACTGCGGTCGTAAGGGTGGGGCTCTGATGCCTGGGGGCTGGTATCCTGGTAGGAGGGAGAGCAGAGCTTTCCGCCAGGGGAGGACAGCGAGGGGGCACCGTCTGCGGGCCAGGAACCGGGTCTGCCAGCACGCGGGTTCCCGACTCCCAGCTTCTGGAACCTTCTGTCATTTAGGCCCCCAGCCCGTTGCACGTGGTTACAGTGGCTGGAGTTATGACATCCTCTAACCATGTGAGCTGGCCACAGGGCAGCACACAGAGGACACGTGGTCTGCCGGTCAGGTTTTGCAAGAAGATGCTCTGGTTTTCACACTACTTTGTGGTTTGAAAGTAACCTTGAGTAAATGTCTTTGGGAAATTGTGTCATTCCTCATTTCATTGAAAACCCAAGGCTTTTATTTTAAGAAGTTTGAATGACACTAACTTATATTCAGCAAAAATCCTCCCTGATGGAACATCAATCTATTCAAACCCACACAACTCTGCACAGCATGGAACGATGCGCCTCCCCCCGACTCCATGAGGATTCTTCGGTACAAGCCTGCGGACTCCGAAACCTATTGTTCCGAAACCCACTTCTCCCTAACTCCCGAGTCCCCAGATCAGGCACTCTGTCACCATGTTCTCCTTTAAGGAGTTCAGTGTTGACCGTCCTGTTTCCCCTGGAGCACCAGACCCAGAGCTGGGCTGTGCATGGAGTCCCTGAAATCCTGCTCCGTGGAGACCCCGAGGGCTGTGTGCACACACATTCATGCACACACCCCCACGCACATGCATCATATATATGTGCAGATGTAGACACACACACATGCCCCCCCACGGGCACATGTATGCATATACGTGATTGTGCACGCACAATGCTGTATGTATGCATGCACATGCTCACGCACATACACACGCACGTATGCACACATATGCATCCACTCACACATACCTCCGCATGCACATACACACGTACGCGCACACATGCTCACACTCACACGTGTGCACACATGCGCACGCTTACACACACGGTCACACACGCAGATACACTCGCGTGCGCATATACACATCCATACACACACAGTGCTTGGACACGCATATGCACACGTGAACACAGTGCTGAGCAGTCTCCACGCACGCAGAGACCCAGAGCTCTCATGAAACCTCACGTGTCTGTATCTTGCCACGAGGGCCACCGCTCAGGCACACGCTAGGGCACACGCTAGGGCACACGAGGCGCCCCGAAGTAGTGCTGTTGGTGCTCGTCAGCTGAGGCCCATATCACCCAACGAGCCCAGCGGGGCCGCGCGGAGCTGGTACGGGAAACGGAGGACAGCCCAGAGTCCCGCACTCGGAAAAGAGAATCCGCAGGGGGGTGAGCAGGGGGGGGG